ACCTTTTCTTTTTGTTTGTTTTTCTCAACATAATAATCTTTAATGAAATTTCCATTTTTACTGCACCCATAGCATTTTCTACCTTTAAATTTGCTTTTTGACCTAGATGGACTTCTACTTTTCTTTTTACTACCAGATGTGTATCCACTTTGATTATCATGAGTCCTAGACTGAGACCTACCTCTCATCATATGAATCTCGCCATTTTTTCTCTCGACTCTCTTGGCTTGCATTTCCATATCTTTACTTCTTAACGAGTTTATGACAATTTCAGGTGTTAAAGTATCTCTCCCGTATTTAATAGCATTTTTAACTTCTCTATAAATGTCAGGGATAACATTTAACAAAATGATTGCCTTATATTCTTCAGATACTTTCTCACCACAGTCAGTGATAGCTTGCACAAGTTTATTGAAGACATCCAAATTGCCATCCAAATCTTTTGAAAAATTGATTTGAAGCTAAAAAAGCTTTCAAGTAGAAAAAGTTTGTTTGGAGTGGATTTATACACATAAAGCCCCTCCGATTTTTCCCAAAGTTCTTGAGTTGATTTTAGTTTACCGGTCTTTCTTAATGCCACATCATATAAATGTAAAATGATAGAAGTATATGCCAATTCATCCAAATTCTCTTTTTCTCCAGCAGTCAAGTTTGTAGGAAAAGAGTCATCAATAGCTTTAGAAACTTTTTGTTGAACAAGAATACCTTTCATTTTTTGTTTCCAAATAGAAAAATCTCCTTTACCATTAAATATACCCAACTCAAAGTAATGTGTCAAGATTTTACCCATAAATGTATAGAACACAAATTCATATATGTAAAAGTCACAGGTCACACAGATTACACAAAGTAATAAGATTCTTTTGATTTCACAATAATACGCTATTCTAGAACCCCAGGATTTCATGAGAATCACGTTCTCAGATCAAGGAAGAAACTAGAATAGGAGCCTGGGCATAAGTCTAAAATAATATGAGATTAATTAACACAACAACATTCAACAAATAAATCTAAAGACGACAAAGAATGGCAAGTAATCCTAGGTTCTACCAACAAGCAATGATTGCTAAACAATGATAATCCCCAATCCTAATGATTACACCACACGATGATATGCTAGTACAATAATGTAAAAGTTTAAGCCAATTTACAAGAGCAAACCTATCTAAGTCTATAAACTACAAATGCGAGTTTATGGCTTTAGGGCATCGATTTTGGCCTAAAGTAATTGGGTAAATATATATAGCCACTGCGACTGTCGACCCACCAAGGGTAAAATTTTCCAAATTTTGTTGCAGTAGCTAAAACGAAAAACTAACAACACACGAATGTTAGAAATGTCAAAATAAATATTCAGTCCAAAGAAACAATCGTCGGAATACTTCACACTTGCCCATACGCGCCGTCGTCGGAGTCCCACGCATCGACCACCCAAGTGTACCTCGGTATGCTGAACACGTTGGTGGTCTTGGTTTGTCCAAAAAGTAAGTAGTTTCATTGAAAAACAGGTGAATAGTTGGACAGCTTTGTTTCTGCATGTTTTGGACTCCTTTTGATCGAATTTTTCACCCAAAATCATAGATTTTGCCTACCCAACGCTCTGATACCAATTGTTGATGCTAATTCCGCCTACAATTGAACAAATCAATTGTGTTAATTATGAAATTTTCAAGAAAAATAGAAGGAAAATCAAAACTGAAAAAGAAGAATTAAAGAACAATAAATTTTCGTTTTAATTCGGCTAAAAAAATCAGTCCAACACCACAAAGGTATCACCAAATTGGAGGCTTATAGTCACAGAGAGACAGAGGCACACACAAAGGCAAGAACTGGAAGCCAGAATGCACAATGCAGGAGGCCAGTTTCTGGTCAAAAAGGCAGGGGACAGTTTTGGTCACAAAGGCAGGAACCATTCTTTTTTAGTGTGTGTAAAGTGAGGCCAAGAGACTCTAATTTATAGGCAAAGGGACAAACATATTTTCCAGATTTTTGGCAAGATAGAGTTCAAGAAAACTGAAATTTGTTACCAAAGATAAGGATAGTGCAACCACATCTATCTTTCTGTGAGAAAAGGGATGGGAATCCTTTTTTCAAATTATCTCCAAAATCAGACATTGAGCACCGAGCCTAATAGGCTGATTTTCTCTAAATACCCAATAGGATTGGACTACATCAATTGTGGTGTGGATTTATTAATATTCTTCAATCACGGGCTCATAGCCTATGAAGATAAACGGGCCTGGATTTTTCATTATTGCCTAGGGGTTATTTGGGCATCACTTACCAAAATACCCTACAGTTTCTTTGTCAAATATGGGCACCAATTTTGCTGGAAAGCCTCACGCAGTTCTTGTACCATTTCCAGCTCAAGGGCCACTTGATTCCTATAGTGCAACTAGCTACAATTTTTCACTCAAAAGGATTTTACGTCACTTTCGTCAATACTAAGTATAATCACAGGTGCTTAATCCGGTCTAAGGGAACAGACTGGGAAAAGGGGTTCAAGGATTTCAGGTTCGAGACTATATCAAAATGATTACCACCATCTGATCGTGATGCAATGCAAAATCCTGCCTAGCTAGGTGAAGCCATTCGAAAGAATTGTTTACCTTTTTACAAAATCTACTGTCGAAGCTTGTTCATTCCAATGAGGTTCCACATATCACATGCATAATTTCAGATGGAGCCATGAGCTTTGCCATAAAAGCTGGTGAAGAATTTGGTATACCTGTTGTTCAATTCTGGAGAACCTCTGCTTGCGGCTTCATGGGATATCTGCAATATCATGAACTCATAAAGAGAGGAATTATACCTTTTAATGGTACATTAAAACCTTTTGTTTTAGCTAAGGATGTTGGTTCTATTCTTAACATGGTATCAGATATCGGCTCTTGATAATTGTGTATGACTCTGTGACAGATGAAAATTTCATGGAAAATGGCTTGCTAGACATGCCTGCAAAACTGGATTCCAGGTATGAAAAACATGCGATTGAAGGACATGCCGAGCCTTATTAGAACAACAAACCCTGATGATGTCCTGCTAAGTTACTTACAAGACGAAGCCCAAAACAATTTAAAATCTTCTGCAATTATCATGAACACTTTCAATTATCTTGCCCATGAAGTTTTAGAGGCAATTTCACCCAGTTCTCCCCAAATTTACACTGTAGGTCCCTTTGCAATGCTTACCAGGGGCTTACCAGAAAACCAATGAAGCTCTTTTAAGCCAATCATATGGAAAGAAGATGCAGCCAGCCTAGAATGGCTGGATAAATAAGCACAATATTTTTTAATCTACGTAAACTATGGATGTGTCACTACGATTTCTGATCAACACTTAAAAGAGTTTGCATGGGGCCTTGCAAATAGCAATCAACCATTTTTGTGGATTGTTCGGCCAACTATGGCGATGGGGGAGTCGGCAACATTGCCTCGAGATTTTCTCGAGGAAACCAAGAATCGAGGTTTGCTCACGAGCTGGTGCCCACAAGATCAAGTGCTTTCCCACCCATCAGTTGGAGTCTTTCTTACTCATTGTGGATAGAACTCTACACTCGAGAGTATTTCTGCAGGGGTGCCCATGATATGCTGGCCTTTCTTTGCCAAGCAGCAAACACACTATTAATGACACGACCTGTCCCGACTCAACCTAATTGACTCGACATGTGTTGTGCGCCAGTGGTAGATGCCAGCTAAATGTCGGACCCACTACCAAGGCAAACTTGACCTAATTTGATTGTGCTATATTTCTATGAAAATTTTGACAGAGTTTTCCCTTAAAAATGGACAAAACCAACCTGAAAAATCATCAAAACCTCAAATAGACATTCAAACCAAAAGTTTTAGAAACCACCACTTCCACTAATACCACCACAACTAAAACAAAATTTGACTGAGTGCTTCTATAATAACATCATGTCTACACGCTAGCATTACATCAATTACAAACCCTTCTACAAAGTGCATGACACCCCAAATATTAGACAAAATACTTAATAAACATGAGTCCCCCAACTATTCATTACATACTATGAAACGGTCTCTTTCGCTTCAGCAGGGTTTTACAAGTATCTCAAAACTCAACGGTCTCCTGATAGGAAAAACATGACAAAAATATGAGTTCGCAACTCAGTGAGTGGATGATTTGCAAATAAATAAACTTTTTCCATTTATGCATATTTTCTAAAAATTTCAACTTTATTAAATCCTTGAGAATTTCTGAATCTAGTAATACTTTTAAAAACTAAACATGATTACATTATAAAATTCTTTGTTCTAAATTCTAGATAAGTATCTGTAAGGTATAACAAATATAAAGAATCTGATATTCATGAAAATTTATTAAATATTGCTGCTGCTCAATACTAGTAGCTGAAAACTTTATTCTAAAAACTGAATTAACTGAATTCCATAATCTGAAATCTGAGAACTGGATAAATACTGAAAAATCATACCAAAAAGAGTACCCAATGAATAGCCTTGCACGTGTACAGGGTAATCTTGATGTACAAGGCAAAGCCATTCAAATCTGATAATCTGGTCATACGTACGCAGAACTGTCCCAAAGGCTAATCACCCTAGTACACAGCCCAAAGCCTATATGTGTACAAGAGTGGGTCCCAAAGACCTTTGATAATCTGGTCATACACTATGGAAACACATTCACGATAGCGCAGAGCGGGTAAAATCACTATAACTAGTCATACACTATGGAAACACATTCACATCAGTGCAAATTGGGGTAAAATCACCTGGGTACTTTCTGGTGATTTTTATAAATAAGTTTAACTATACTGAAACATGTAAAAGAATATATCATGCTACTAAAATAATTTAACTGAACTGAATTTAACTTCAAAAGCAATTGATAATAAAATCCATTTTATTCTGAAAATCATGCTATGAAGTCAACTTTATAAAATAAATAACTTTAAAATTTAAAGAAGACTTATTTCTGAAAAATAAGTTTTATCCACTCATAAGCTAGGAGCTACAAGCTAGATTGCCTAATAAACGTTTCCAATTTCCTCGTCACCACCTGAAATACGATATTAATAACCAATTTATCCTCTATCTAATCAATAAACCTTAATATCTAATGATAGAACTTAATTTAAATTCTCTTGACACTTGAATAAATTCTCAAATTTTTCTTTATTAATTGGAGCTAATCACACTTTATAATCCCTTGACTAATAACTAATTATCAACATAACCTTCTTCCCAAGTTTAAAACTAATTTTACTCTCCAATCAAGTGAAACTAGTAACCATAATTCCGCCCATTTAATATACATTTTGTTCCATAAAATCAATTCCCAAGTGAAATATTCCATTTATATAATCATTTCCACAATTAAATAATCAAAATCCCAAAATCGGATTCTAGGGTTTCCCAAAAAAAAATTGACATCTCCTTACCTTAATGTAGATAGAAATTCAAGAATCAATAACTTGAGCTCCAAGTAGTATTCATCTCAACAAATCTGAAAATTTCAAACTAAAATAAAACCCTAGAATTTTAACATAAAATTTATCTACCTCTTGAAGAAAATAAAGAGAAAGGAAAAATGAAAATAGACCTTGAACTACCTCTTTCCTTTCTTCTTCTTCTTCTTCTTCTTCTTCCATTTTCATTTTTCTCCTTCTTTTTCTTCCCTTTCTTTCCCTTTTCTCTAATTTTTCTCCCTTTCTATTTGGTCTCCAGCTCTCTACCATTTCTTCAATGTGTGTGTGTGTGTGATTTTGAGTGAAAAATGGGTCAAAGGTTGAATATAAATTCCACTTACTCAAAAATTGCAAGGAAAGTCCCCCAACTCCATTTTTATATCACATTTAATCCTAAACTTCCAAAAAAATATAAGTAAATTCTCAATTTTAAATTGTATCCAATTTAACCCTCACATATTGCCAATTGGGGAATAAACTTCAATAAAATATTTTAATCAAGTCAAGTCCCAATAAAGTCGTTTATTTCATTTAAGTCCCTATGTGACATTGACTTTGAAAATTCCACTATTAACTTTGACTAGATAAAAATGTGGGTTGTAACAATCTTACCTCCTTAAAAGAATTTCGTCCTTGAAATTCAACTGGCAACTGACTGGGTAATGAATAAGTGAGGATATTGAGCACGCATCTGATCCTCATTCTCCCACGTAGCCTCTTCTACTGTCTAATTCTGCCAAAGTACTTTAACAAGTGAAACTGTCTGGTTTCGTTGAGTTTGCACTTTCTTGTCTAAGATTTTCACTGGCTCTACTATATAAGTCAAATTCTCCTTCAACTAAATTGGCTGAGACTCCAGAACATGAGAAGGATCAACAATGTACTTGCGAAGCATGAGAATATGAAAAACATCATGCATCCGGGATAATTCATCGGGCAGATCTAATCGATATGCAACTGGACCAATCCGCTCAATATTCTCATAGGGTCCAATATATCTTGGACTCAACTTTCCTCGCTTGCCAAATCTCAACACCCCTTTCCAAAGAGATAATTTAAGAAAAACTTTATCTCCTACTGCAAATTCAAGGTCTTTCCTACGCTTATCCGCATAACTTTTCTGTCTATCCTGTGCTGCTCTCAACTTTTCCTTGATCAAATTCACATTTTCGGACGTCATTTGAACCAATTTCGGGCCTTCTAACTTTCTCTTACCAGCTTCATCCCAACAAACTGGCGTCCTGCACTTCTCACCATATAAAGCTTCAAAAGGAGCCATTTCTATACTAGAGTGGTAGCTGTTATTGTAAGCAAACTCCATCAATGACAAATGAGTATGCCAACTATCCTTGAGCTCTAAAACAGAAGCCCTCAACATATTCTCAACAGTCTGTATGATCCTTTCTGACTGGCCATCTGTCTGAGGATAAAAAGCAGTACTGAAATATAGTTTAGTACCCATGGCTTCCTGCAAACTGGGCCAAAATTTAGATGTAAAATGAGGGTCTCTATCAGACACAATGGATAATGGAGTACCATATGAGCTTACTATCTCATCCACATACTACTTTGCCAACTTATTTAAAGTATAAGTGGCTTTGATCGGCAAGAACTTGGCAGTTTTGGTCAAACGATCTACAGTCACCCAAATTCCATCATGACCATTTTGAGTACGAGGAAGACCAAATAAAAAGTCCATAGTAATGTACTCCCATTTCCACTCTGGAATAGGCAATGGCTGTAAAAGTCCTGTTGTTTTCTAATGAAATAGCTTTACCTGCTGACATATAAGACATTTGGATACAAAATCTGCTATCTCTCTCTTCATACCAAGCCACCAATAATGATCTTTCAATGTATGATACATTTTAATACTGCTTGGAAGCATAGCATAAGCAGAACTGTGAGCTTCTTCCAAAATCTCTTTCTTCAATTCTGGAATATTTGGAACACATAATCTATTACCCATAGCTAGCGCCCCATCATCTCTAATCACATAATCCGTTCTTAACCCAATACTAACTTTTGCTTTCAATATTCTCAATGTCTGGTCTTGAGATTGAACTTCTCGAACCTTATCAATCAAAGTAGGCCTCACATGAAAATGAGCTAATACAGTACTTGAAGTAGTAGCTGACAAATGAGCATGCAATTTCTGGAATTCACAAATCAAAGAAGCATAAACTGCACTAGCTGAAGAGGAAGAACTAGTCTTTGTACTCAGAGCATCTGCAACCACATTAGTTTTCCCTGGATGGTAATCAATCTTACAATCATAATCCTTAATCAACTCCAACCATCTTCTCTGCCTTAGAATCAGTTCTTTCTGATCAAAAATATACTTCAAACTTTTGTCATTAGTAAATATTTGACATTTCTCACCATAAAGATAATGCCTCCAAATCGTCAATGCCAACACTATTGCAACTAACTCCAAATCATAAGTTGGGTAATTTAACTCATGCTTCTTCAATTGTCTTGAAGCATAAGCTACAACTTTTCCATTTTGCATTAGAACACAACCCAATCCTTGGCGTGAAGCATCACTATAAATCACAAACTCTTCACCCGGAGATGGAAGAGTAAGTATAGGAGCAGAAGTCAACCTTTTCTTCAACTCTAGAAAACTCTTCTCACATTCCTCATTCCACACAAATTTGGTGTTTTTTCAAGTCAAATTAGTTAGAGGAAGAGCAATTTTGGAGAAATTCTCTACAAATCGATGATAATAACCTGCTAGTCCAAGGAAACTCCGTACTTCTGTAACATTAGTAGGGCATTCCCATCTCATAATTGCCTCGATTTTATGAGGATCTACATAAATGCCTTCTGCTGAAATGGCATGACCCAGAAACACAACTTTATCCAACAAAAATTCACATTTGCTAAATTTAGCGTACAACTGCTTATCTCGCAAAGTCTGCAAGATAATCTTCAAATGTTCAGCATGCTCATCACAGCTATGAGAATAAACCAATATATCGTCAACAAAAACAATCACAAATTTATCTAAATATGGGTGAAGCACCCTATTCATCAAATCCATAAATGCAGCTGGGGCATTAGTTAATCCAAATGGCATCACCAAAAATTCATAATGACCATACCGAGATCGAAAAGCAGTCTTTGGTACATCAACATTTCTAATTCTGAGCTGATGATAACCCGAACGTAAATCAATCTTTGAAAGTATCGAGGCCCCTCTAAGTTGGTCAAACAAATCATCAATGCGAGGCAACAAATACTTATTGTGGACTGTCACTTTATTCAACTGTCTGTAGTCAATACACAATCTCATTATGCTATCTTTCTTCTCACAAATAAGACTGGAGCTCCCTATGGAGATACACTGGGTCTAATGAAACCCTTATCAACTAAATCCTGCAACTGAACTTTCAATTCCTTTAGCTCTGCTGGAGCCATTCTGTAAGGTGCCTGTGAAATGGGTGTTGTCTCGGGAATCAAATCAATACAGAATTCTATCTCCCTATTTGGGGGTAATCCCGGAAGGTCTTTTGGAAAGACATCGGGAAAATCTCACACAACTGATATATCATCAATAGCCCGCTTTGTAATCTGAGTATCAATTACATGGGTCAAATATGCATCACAACCCTTTTTGAGCATTCTGTGAGCATCCAGGACAAATATTACACAAGATGGCAAAATTCTGCGCTCTCCAGTGAGAACAATTTCAAGCTCCCCTGGGCTTCTAAATACCACTTCCTTACGAAAACAATCAATTGAAGCACGGTGATTAGATAGAAAATCCATCCCCAAAATAACATCAAAATCATGAATGTCAAGAGGAATTAAATCTGCTTTCAACTCATGATAGTTCACTCTAATCCCACAATCTTTATATATACGATCTGCTAAAAGTGAGTCCCCTACTGGAGTCATTACTACCAATTCATTATCTAAAGACTCTGACATTTGATTAGCATAGCTAGCAAGTGTGCTAGCAAGTGTGTGAGAAATAAAGGAATACGTAGCACCCAAATCAATTAAAGAACAAGCATTTCTACCAAAAATAGATAACATACCCACTACCACATCTGGTGACTCCTCTGCCTCCTGCTGTGTCATAGTAAACACCTTGCCCTGAGTCCTGGATCGACCTGCCTGGACTCCTTGTCTAGAAGCACTACCCCTAGCAGCATTAGATTGTGTGGCCCCCATCGACCCTGCTGATGGAGTTCTTTGATCCCTGTTCTGTCTAGTCATACGGATCCCTGGCTGTGGAGATACTATCTGAGATGCTCCAATCTGCTGAGATCTAGCTGGATAATCTTTCCTTATGTGTCCCATCTGACCACATTGATAACAAACTCCAACCCCTCGAAGACACTCGCCTGGATGAAACTTCCCACAAGACTGGCACTGTGGAAAGCTCCGATAATCAGAAGCCTCACTCTGCCTCGCTCCTTGAATTCTCTATGAAGGACCATGTACATTAGAATGGCTTCCCACTGACTGTTGTCCAAAACTCTGACTATGTCTTGATCCCTGACTAGAGCTAGAACTCCCAGACTTAGATTTAAAACTGCCAGATTTAATGACACCTGGCCAAAATCCTTTTCTATTCTTCTTGAACCTTTCTCCTAAAACTCCTGATTGACTACTACCACTTCGAAAGGTCACCTGTACTCCTTGATTACTTCCTTCATGAATAGCTATCTCAACCCTCAATGCCGCCTCAAGCAATAAACCAAAATTTTGATGCCCATGAGCAGTAACCATAGGCCGAACTTTGATCTCAAGCCTTGCTCAAACCGTCTACACCTATCTCTCTCCTCAGCTACCAAAGCACTTGCATACTTAGACAGTTCGACAAACTTTACATGATATTTAGCAACAGACATAGACCCCTGCACCAATCTTAAAAATTCATTTTGTTTTGCATCACGATAAAATGGTGGATAATATGTCTCAAAGAAAGATTTCTTGAAAATGGTCCAGGTGATGATACTTGGATCTGGATACTGACTTCGGAACGAAATCCACCAATCAGCAGCTCCCCCCTTCAATAAAAATACAGCAATGCGTAATTTTTTATCCTCTGAGCATTCTATCACATCAAATGTGCTTTCCAAAGTCTTCATCCAAAGTTCAGCATCGGCTGGATTAGATGTACCCATAAAAAATTTTGCTCCAAGTTTCATCGCTCTCTCTACAGAGTTATCTCTATCAGTATTTGGTAGAAGGGAAGCAATAGTTGTAGCTATTCAATCGGTGATGGGGTCAGGTTGCACCTGAGACTGGTGCACTGATTCAGCAGCCCCACTGACCCCTCCAACATGTCTTTCTTTAGGAGTATTATGAGCTTGAGATACTGGATTTTGGTGCCTGCGAGTTCTGCCTCTACCATGCATGACTTACCTACAATAATGAGGGACATAAAAACATCATATACATGCAATGTTACTCATAAACTTTAAGACCACGCTCTGATACCAATTGACACGACCCGTCCCAACTCAACCTAATTGACTCGACACGTGTTGTGCGCCGATGGTAGATGCCAGCTAAATGCCGGACCCACCACCAAGGCAAACTTGACCTAATTTGACTGTGCTATATTTCTATGAAAATTTTGACAGAGTTTCCCCTTAAAAATGGACAAAACCAAAATCTCAAATAGACATTCAAACCAAAAGTTTTAGAAACCACCACTTCCACTAATACCACCACAACTAAAACAAAATATAACAAAATTTGACTGAGTGCTTCTACAACAACATCATGTCTACATGCCAGCTTTACATCAATTACAAACCCTTCTACAAAGTGCATGGCACCCCAAATATTAGACAAAATACTTAATAAACATGAGTCCCCCAACTATTCATTACATACTATGAAACGGTCTTTTTCGCTTCAGCAGGCTTTTCCAAGTATCTCAAAAATCAACGGTCTCCTGATAGGAAAAACATGAAAAAAATATGAGTTCGTAGCTCAGTGAGTGGATGATTTGCAAATAAGTAAACTTTTTCCGTTTATGCATATTTTCTAAAAATTTTAACTTTATTAAATCCTTTAGAATTTCTGAATCTAGTAATACTTTTAAAAACTAAACATGATTACATTATAAAATTTTTTGTTCTAAATTCTAGATAAGTATCTGTAAGGTATAACAAATATAAAGAATCTGATATTCATGAAAATTTATGAAATATTGTTGTTGCTCAATACTAGAAGCTGAAAACTTTATTCTAAAAACTGAATTAACTGAATTCCATAATCTGAAATCTGAGAACTGAATAAATACTGAAATATCAGACCAAAAAGAGTACCCAATGAATAGCCTTGCACATGTACAGAGTAATCTCAATGTACAAGGCAAAGCCATTCAAATCTGATAATCTGATAGCTGATAATCTGGTCATACGTACGCAGAGCTGCCCAAAGGCTAATCACCCTAGTACACGGTCCAAAGCCTATATGTGTATAAGAGTGGGTCTTAAAGACCTCTGATAATCTGGTCATACACTATGGAAACACATTCACGATAGTGCAAAGCGGGTAAAATCACTATAACTAGTCATACACTGTGGAAACACGTTCACATCAGTGCAAACTGGGGTAAAATCACCTGGGTACTTTTTGGTGATTTTTAGAAATAACTTTAACTATGCTGAAACATGTAATAAGAATATACCATGCTACTAAAATGATTTAATTGAACTGAATTTAACTTTAAAAGCAATTCATAATAAAATCCATTTTATTCTGAAAATCATGCTATGAAGTCAACTTTATAAAATAAATAACTTTAAAGTTTAAAGAAGACCTATTTCTGAAAAATAAGTTTTATCAACTCACAAGCTAGGAGCTACAAGCTAGATTGCCTGATAAACATTTCCAATTTTCTCGTCACCACCTGAAATACGATATTAATAACCAATTTATCATCTATCTAATCAAGAAACCTTAATATCTAATGATAGAACTTAATTTAAATTCTCTTGACACTTGAATAAATTCTCAAATTTTCCTTTATTAATTGGAGCGAATCACACTTTATAATCCCTTGACTAATAACTAATTATCAACATAACCTTCTTCCCAAGTTTAAAACTAATTTTACTCTCCAATCAAGTGAAACTAGTAACCATAATTCCACCCATTTAATATACATTTTGTTTCATAAAATCAACTCCCAAGTGAAATATTCCATTTATATAATTATTTCCACAATTAATTAATCAAAATCCCAAAATCGGATTCTAGGGTTTCCCAAAAAAAAATTTGACATCTCCTTACCTTAATGTAGATAGAAATTCAAGAATCAATAACTTGAGCTCCAAGTAGTATTCATCTCAACAAATCTGAAAATTTCGAGCCAAAATAAAACCCTAGAATCTTAACACAAAATTTATCTACCTCTTGAAGAACATAAAGAGAAAGGAAAAATGAAAATAGACCTTGAACTACCTCTTTCCTTTATTCTTCTTCTTCCTTTTTCATTTTTCTCCTTTTTCTTCCCTTTCTTTCCCTTTTCTCTAATTTTTCTCCCTTTCTATTCGGTCTCCAGCTCTTTGCCGTTTCTTCAGTGTGTGTGCGTGTGTGATTTTGATTGAAAAATGGGTCAAAGGTTGAATATACATTCCACTTACTCAAAAATTGCAAGGAAAGTCCCCCAACTCCATTTTTGTATCACATTTAATCCTAAACTTCCAAAAAAATATAAGTAAATTCTCAATTTTAAATTGTATCCAGTTTAACCCTCACATATTGCCAATTGGAGAATAAACTGCAATAACATATTTTAGTCAAGTCAAGTCCCAATAAAGTCGTTTATTTCATTTAAGTCCCTATGTGACTTTGACTTTGAAAATTCCACTATTGACTTTGACTAGATAAAAATGTGGGTTGTACCAATTAATATCTTTGCACAGAATGGGTAGTCAGATTGGAAGTCAATTATGATGTTGAAAGAGACGACATTGAAGAACTTGTTAGGATGTTATGGAAGAGAGAAAGGAAAAGAAATGAAAAGCAGGACTATGGAATAGAAGAGAAAAGCAGAAGAAGCAACAGAAACAGGAGCTTCATCATACACAAACTTGGATAGATTATTCAAAGAAGTTCTTAATTGTCAAGGAGTGTCACAAGACTCTTATTGTCTATCTGGTGTGTGGCAGTAGACAGGACGTACTAGAAAATACTACGAATAAGATTTTAGCTTTCAATTTTTTTGGTTTTTTTAATTTTTATTTTTTAAATAAAAATGTCTGCACATGCAGGATATAATGAAAATATAAATATAAGTAACTAATTTTTTCAGCTAACCGACAATTCAATCCTTTAGACAACATCTTCATTCAAATATATATCGATTTATTAATATTACAAGCAGACAAGTCTTGGAGAAATATCTACAAATTTTGTATACACCTCTGTTGGAGTTTATAGCAATCAACTTAATGTTGTTGTAGAAGTAGCACACGATAAAGCTTGTACAGGTAAGTCAAAAAATAATTCCACAGTTGAAGAAATCTTTTCAAATGCTTCAAAACAACACTTCATAGTAAACTGATCAAGCTTCCTCAGCAAGAAAGCACTTCTCTTATATTGTATGGGTCTGTATTATAAAATGTATTTTGTAATGCTGCCTGAATTTTTCGGAATATAGCTATCCGAGTTCAATATATGCATGCTAAATTTGGCAGCCACTTGATTAACAAAATGTATTTCTAACCTTTTAGTCCACTTTGCGGCTGTTTCCTTATTTTTGGGTTTCCTTGTAATATATAAACTATTTGGAGAAATATCTACAAATTTTGTATACACCTCTGTTGGAGTTTATAGCAATCAACTTAATGTTGTTGTAGAAGTAGCACACGATAAAGCTTGTACAGGTAAGTCAAAAAATAATTCCACAGTCGAAGAAATCTTTTCAAATGCTTCAAAACAACACTTCATAGTAAACTGATCAAGTTTCCTCAGCAAGAAAACATTTCTCTTATATTGTATGGGTCTGTATTATAAAATGTATTTTGTAATGCTGCCTGAATTTTTCGGAATATAGCTATCCGAGTTCAATATATGCATGCTAAATTTGGCAGCCACTTGATTAACAAAATGTATTTCTAACCTTTTAGTCCACTTTGCGGCTGTTTCCTTATTTTTGGGTTTCCTTGTAATATATAAACTATTTTAGTTCATTGTAAACCCTAATTTTTTGTTGCTTAATAGATTATCGTTTATCTCTTTCCTCTTCTTCTCTTCTCTTTGAATTGTTTTATTATATTGGTTCAAGATAGTTTATGTTGTTCACATAGTATTAGAGTAGATAATTGAGTGAAAATTGTGAAATTTTTGATTTGGGATGCTTTTGGAAATGGAGGCAAAAATCAGGTAAAAAAATTTGTGCAAAAACCTAATCCACCGTAACCAAATATACCAAATCCAACCGAACTAGTGATCGATTGAAAAAATTGAGACCAGATTCGTGTTTAGCAGGTTGAGACAAACATTCTGGTCAGGGGCATGGAGTTGGATGGAGGCGCGTGGCGGCGGCCCGTGGGGGTCACACGCAGTGACGGTTTGGGGGCGTGAAAGTGTGTGTCGTTTTTTGGAGTGATTCCAAAAGGCAGTTTGTTCCTTGATAAATTTATGATCTTTTGGTGGTATTATTTTGGTTATACGTATACTGTGCAGTATATTTCAATTGTAGTTTGTGGTGGTATGTTTGTTATCGTTGGTTTTCTTAAATATTGGGTGATATTGTTGATTCATAGTTGATCATTTATTGACTTTATCATGACAACTGAAAGAGATGATTCACTTTAATTCATTAGTGTCAGATTAAATTGTAAAAATTACTCATATTGAAGTACAGTGATGAGATATTTTCAAAAGGGAAAACGATTGTGGGGTTATGTTATTGAAACTATTGCGAAACTCGAGAACACTGCTTGAAATTATGTAACAGAGTTAAATAATTGGGAGTCAAACAACGTGAAAATTCTCACTTGGATTCATAATTCTATTGAGCAATCCATTGGTATACAATCGATGAAGTTTGAAATAACAAAGGAAGTTTGGAAGCACTTTCAAAAGTTATACACTAAGTCTAACCTTGCTAGACAGAATCCGTTGGAAATTGATATATGGGCCTTACATCATAAGGATATGAGTATTCTTGAATTTTATGCTGCTAAGAATTTAATTTGGGATAAGTTGGCTCTTACGGAATCAGCAGGATTGAAAGCATGTGAGAAATATATTACTTTTTAGAGAGGAGAAACGATAAATTCAATTTTTTATGGCACTTCGTAGTGATTTTGAGGGACTTAGAGGCTCTATTTTGCATCGCACTTCACTTTCACTACAAAAAATAACCAAATTTGTGACAAAAGTTACAAAAGTAATTTACCGACGATAATACGTTTGCTACGGGTATTGTCACGATATATATTTTGCAACAACTTTCGACCGATCATCGCATTAACAAAACCGCGTCACTATTTGTGTGACGCAGAACATAAGAAATAGCAACAAAATATCTATAGCCATAATATCGCCGTAATGTATATATGTTGCGAAAAATTTAAGGGGCGACAATTCAGTTTGTCACAACGAATATTCCAATAAAGTTTTTACGAAAAATATGTTTGTTGTAAATATCGAGTCATCAAATGTATTTTGCACAATTTTCAACCATTCATTCCATTAACAAAATCCCAACATTATTTATTTTCTATAGAATATATATATATATATATATATATATATATATAAAATAAAAAGACGACACGACAGTTTGTTGCAACGATTATTCCAATAAA